TTTCCCAGACCACGCATTTGGGGCTTCCTGTGCGCAAAGCACAAAGCCAGCCTAGATGCTGCACTCAGCTCTTGTCAGAGATCTTGTGTTGCTGGGGCATTCGGAGCTTCTTCTTGTCTGCTCCATGTAAGCAGCAAAAACGAAGTTTTCTCCACGTCTTTTTTATCTGCAGTGTTCGCGTTTTACGTAGTGTCTTTGTTAGCTTCATTCCTTGATTGCCACGATCACTCAGATCGAGGATTCTTGCCAGCTACGTTTCCGCCCATTGACTACTGTAGTGGTATGTGGCTGTGGCTATATACAACGCTCTGACGCGTTCTTGATGTGTTTGTTAGCGTTTGGGCAATCTTTCTTGCAGCCCTCTGCATCCACAACGTCCATTTCAACCGGTTGGTCACGGTGCCCCTATTCCAGGGATGGTGTTGAGCTTCGGGGAATGATTGCATGAACCAGGCCACATGGAGGCGTTTGTAATGGCTGAAGTCGAAGTGTATGTACCTGGTTGCGGTTGCGCTGCGTGAGCGGATTTCGTCGGGCTGAGTGGCTTGAGAACTTAGGGGTCAGTCTCACGTTCAGGAATACGCACAGTCCATGTTGCTGTTTTATGTCTTTGCGACGAGATTTTCAATGTGAACTCGGAAATGTCAGGCCATGTCTCGAATGGAGAACTCATGATTAAGCTGGTCGTTCAGATGGCACTTGCTTTGTTGTCACTGCTTCTTTCCGTGCGTCCTGGCCAGTGTTCTAGTTCTTTTTCAGTGCTTCCTTTGCTTGGGACCAGTAGCTCTATCATGGACGTACTACAGCTAAGCTAAACTAGGGAATAACTAGTACAGCTAATTATCACAAGCACCTCTACCTGAAGCCCGTGACAGACAGATACTCTCAGTTTTTTTGCAGCTCAGGCTTGCTGGCCTCTATCCGACAGACACGCCGGAGACCGCTGGCTACAAGGTCGCTCACAGTGGGGATCCTTGCCAGGCACTTGTTGGGTTTACTTTCGGGCTTTGGGGCTTAATTAGGCTTCATAGGGGTTGAGTAAGCCGCCTATATCGTATCATACCGTAACTGTTTAACGCCGTAACATCGCATGACTCACCGTTCCCATGGTCATCGTCAGAAGCATCATCAGTCCAACTGGAAACAGTATATAGCATCGATCGGAGAAGGGCTCCTAGTTCGACAGCTTCATGAAATAGGATCTGGAGTTGGAGGATTTGTTCGCTCCTGGTTGAAACTGCCTCTTCTTGTGGCTGTGCGACTTCGTATTTGCAGCACAATTTCACGCGTGGCATGGCAAAACAACTTCGCTCGGAACCTCATGCGATGGATCTTTAAGTGCGTATGCCTCTGTAGGTATGCATGCATGCATGTATGTGTATATCGTGTACTTAATTGCGCACCTACACAAATGTGTATATGTATATGTGTATATATATATATACATATGTATGTATATATATATGTGTATGTATGTATGTATGTATGTATGTATGTATGTATGTATGTATGTATGTATGTATGTCTGCATGTAGTGTGTATGTATGTATGCATGCATGCATGCATGCATGCATGTACGTATGTATGTATGTATGTATGTGCGTAGGTAAGCAAGAAGGTAGGTAGGTAAGTCGGTAGGTAGGTAGGTAGGTAGGTAGGTAGGTGGGTAGGTAGGTAGGTAGGTAGGTAGGTAGGTAGGTAGAGCTTGCGTATGTGTGCATATATATATATAGCTGTGTTTGCAGTGAGCTTAAATGCTCGATATTCCCGATTTTGACACTGCTACATGCTCTGTGTCTTCGTGAGAGTCTTCAGCACGAGAACTGACTCAAATAGTTTTCAGACGGGCCTACTAACTTTCGCCGTCGAAGCTACTGTGAGTTCCGTCTTACTGCGGGTTGATAGTTCTTGCCGAAAGCCGGGGCTAAAAGCCGCCATACCAAGGCCGCCGTAGTGGTCGTTGAGGACAGGAGCAAGCTTGACAGGACCGGATCTTAATCGGATACTCCAATCAGCGGAAACTCATGGACACCTGCACCAGCTCAGATGGTGGACTGCAGTACGAGCAGTGTTCATGAGCGTACCATCCAGAACGATGATGTCGTAGCAGCCCCAAGCAGCTGCCAGCACTTGCTACATCGGGGACTGTAGTTATGCAGCTGTTATGGTTGCGTGCAGTCTTGCAGTAGCCGCAGTCCGGCGACCATGTCCTTCAGCAGGCTCGTCGACGCGCTCAACAAGCGCAAGGATCCGAAGCCTTTGCGTGTCAGAAGCTTAGTTTGGGGAGCAGATTTGGGCTTGGAGCTCCAATGGGGTTGGGACCGAGCAGCAAACCTTGTGCTATTGTTGTTGGATCGTCGGCATCGACTGACTTCTGCACGTTGACGGATGATGACTGCTTTTGTGTCAGGCGAAAGTGTTGTTGTTTCTGAGCATCAAGGGGACACGATCTACTTCAATGTATGATGTTTTCTGTTCCCACGCTCAGGTCAAGGCATTTGTTGCCTACGGGTTTACGCCGGCGGATGACGAAAAGGTCGAGGTCCAGGCAAGATGCAGGAGATAGTCGCACCCGAGCATGAAGTCGGCTTGACAGCTTCCTGGATGCGGGTTTTAAGGCTGTTGAAGTGACAGACTCATTTGCCTGAAAGGCCTCAGACCTAACAAAGAATGATGTCCACGAGTCGCTGGAGGTAGCGAGTCGGTGAAGCCTGCGATACTGCGGCAAGTCTAGAATGCCCAGAGGCTGAACTACTCTATTGCTTCCACTGACGACAGTACTGCGTATTGCTCACTGTGGGCCAGTTGTCAACAGATTCTGAGCTGTGCGACAGCTACATCGAAGACCTCGATTTGACAGTGGTGGCTTTGGGTTAGGCCATGCCTTTTGAGCAACGGTCCATCTCTAGCCACCTGGAGCCACCCTGAGCATCTCGCAACCACTAAAAAAGTCAGTTTTCGTAGCCTGCATGTTGTCGTGCAAATGCCACATGTGTTGATAATTGAGTTGTCTACTCACGCATACATCGTTGTTTAAACGTGTTTCTGTTCGATTGTTCAGGTATCTATCGCTGGACGTTCGACCCATCTGCCCCTAAATCAGGTGTACACCCAAGACCCTGTCGCCTTCGGCAGGGAGACAAGAAGCCTGTCATGAGCTGGGCAGCCCTCATGGCCATGGGTGACAAGGTCGTTTGTTCTTGGGTTTGGGGTGCTTGAGGACGAACAGCGCGATTTCTCTGGAGCTGTTCCAGGTGTTTCGGAAAGAACCACAGATGTTGGGATTTGCCGGCATGTATGTGTCTATACAAAAAACTTGTAACACACACACACACATATATATATATATACACACATATGTATATGTATACATGCACACACACACATATATATATATGTATGTATATGTGTATATATATATCGGTATTTTATTTATACATGCATCTCATCTCGTATCATAACAATCCCATGCATACATACACATATGTGTTTACATACCTACATACCTACATACCTACATACATGCATGTGCACATACTGTTTGTATGCATGCATACATGCGTGCATACGTGCATACATACATATATACATACATGCATGCATACATACATACATACATACATACATACATTAATACACACACAGATAGGTCTCCTTGCGTGTGAGAAAGTGTGTACACATGTGTATACATGACCATGAAGAGCTTTTTCATCCGGAATTCCATGAAGCTTAGGCCTGGGTACATGCAACTAGATTTGAGCAGTCATCTGTAGTCGCAAGATATCTTGTTTTTTGGAGGCGGTGCTAATGTGTAGTAGGTAGCATATATCCGTGCAGCATGAGAACGCTTTCTCAGATGTGACCCATTGGCCCTCAGCGCCTCAAGTTGATTGCACGAGCCGTGTTCCTCAGACTTGCTCACATCTCTTCCGACAGGAAAGCGATGCGGAACTTGATAAACGAATAGCTGACGTGTCGCCTTTGGAGTGTGCAGCCCTGGTGCACCTGGGCATCGAGTAGATGAAGTCAAGTGCAGTGTCAACAGAGACAAGTTACTCAAAGAGCTCATCGTCCTCGTAATCTCGGTTGGGACCTAGGAGGTCTGGTTTGGACAATCGAAGGTGAGCGCAGGGACTAAACCTTCTTTAGGCATAAAAGCGAAGTCTTGCCAGCCAGTTGCCACGAGCCGTGGGCATGTTCCTGCATTGCTGAAAGATATAATTGTTTCCGTCTGGCCAGACATGTGCCATATCCAATAGAGTTGCTGCAGGAAGGGTGACTGACGTCTAACTCTTCGCCACACAAAGTGTGCAGGGTCCCGACACACAGGTACACATCTGGCACCACCGGAGAGCCAAAGGCAGTGATGCTTTCGCACGCACCGTGGCTGTCGACTTGGTGGTGCCTAGTGGGCCTAGTTACAGGTTACCACATCAAGGATAAAACTTTCTGAAACTTGCTGGAATGGAGGGAGCTCGTGACTTGAAGCGTCAGCCCAAAATTTCTTCACCGTCGTAAGCTACACATTGATCGTAGTCACTCAGTAAAACAAAACTCGCAGACGTTTCGCGCAGGTGTGGTCCAGGTACTTGGGAACATGCCTCTTCTGGATATGTCACCTGGAGATTCCTGCAAGCTTTTCCCTCACTGCCTTGAAGATCTAAGCCCGGGGGGGAGAGACCTGCTCCATGACCGAGGATGCCATCATCTTCACGAGCAGTGGAGTTTTCGAGTGCCTTTGAAAGACCAGAACTTCCTCAGAGTTCACTTCGCAGCGACTTTTGGGCTTCCTTGAGTTTGGGTAGCATCTGCGCGCCAGTCATTCTGGGCTAATTCAGAGGTCTTCGTGCCGGACATTGATGTTTGCACGTATCCAGCTGAGCCTTTGCAGACCCTGCAAGGGGCTTCAGTGCAGGCTTTGCTAAACCCCGACGGAGTTTGAGTCGGATTTTTCACGAACACGAAAGTAGCGAAGAGCTTCACGAACAATTGAAGCCCAGGGCTAGCGTCGGACCTACCCACAACTTCGCCGTCCTTCCGGAGCAGGTCGGAGTTCAGATTGAGTGCTTGCAGACGTGTCTCTGATGATCTTCCCTCCTCGGGGGGCTACCATCCGAAGTCATAGGCCTGCAAGATCGTTCAAACAGTGCCTCGTTGAAGTTAGACTGCTCTAGGGAGTCTGGAAGTCGACAAACCGCGAGGAGCGATTTCTGTCGTATCTGCCTTTGTCGCATGTGGCTGGACTGATGGTGGACATGTGACGCTTGGCTGTGACGGGTTTAGGATTTTAGGCATCTCTCTCTCGCTCCCTCTCTCTCCCTATCCCTGTCGCTCTCGCTCTCCCTTTCTCTCCCTATCCCTCTCGCTCTCCCTCTCTCTCTCTCTCCCCCTCTTTCTGGTCTGCATCTGTATGGGTATCTTGCATAGAGGTTCACATGCAATCTAGACATGCGTGTACACATACATACATACATGCATGCATACATACATACATACATACATACAGCTTTCGGCGTTCATCGCATGAGAGTCCTTAGAGACTCTAGGACCGGCGTGTACATGGTCGAAAGTCTACATGGCCGGACCTATACTTGACACATAACCACGGGTTCCGCAACTAGTACAGGGGCCTTAATGAGTGGAACAGGGCTTTGGGGTAGATGATAATATCATTACAATCAGGTTCCGTCAGTTTTAGTACATAGCATCCTTTGTCCTGCAGCCCCAAAATCGCAATGCTCGGATGCTGAGTCGTAGTTGGCTCCCGACCGAGGCTGTCCCATGGCGCTGACTGCCAAGTTGCCAGCTGGACTCAATTCTAGTTTTGTGCCAGAATGTTGCTACTGCTACGACGACGGTAAGTCAATATCGGGTCTAAGAAAATAACAAGCCGACAAGACTTAAGATTCAGTTCGGTGATGATATTCCGAAAATGGCAACCACAGCGAGTATTGTGACTGCTAGACGTAGCTAGGGACAAGGTTTTATCTTGCTTCGGCATGGTGGTCGTCAGAAGCACTTCTGTGCGCTCATGCGTGTTTCACCTGTCGTGCTTCTCGCAAACGCATGCACATAGGGGTTACTTCGTGTGGAGCTTAGGAGAGAGTGTAAGCAATTTGGCAGAGCTCGTCTTGACCGCATTCTGTTCGATGCGCATTCGGTATGCAGTCTGATCAGCTCAATGATGTCGAAATGGTGGTGTGGATGAGCATGCTCTATACTACTAGTACAAGAAAGCTAGAGACCAAATCACGGCGCTGGCCCATGCCTCGATTGCAGGTTGCCCATGCTACCCCAAACCCTCAAACGGGACGATGTGGTCCAGATGAGTTCCTTGGCACAGCTACCTGCACAAGACAGACCTTCGATGCCTTGCACAGGCCATGCTGGTGCACCGCGTATTTTGCTCGACCATACGATCTCAAGATGGGTGCCATCAAGGACCTCGGCTGTCCTTGTCGGAGCAAGGCCACATTTTGCACATCAGGAGCACTTACCTGAGAATCCTCCATTCGCCATGAGCTTCACGGCGACACAATGCAACGCTGCAGAATACCTTCAGCTTAGTGAAGAAGCTCTTCTAGGCTGCAACTAACGTGCGCTCCGGGGCGCCGGACCACCACCTCCTCGCCTCGTGCAGAAGTGCGCGAACGCTACCGCGTTGCCCGATCATTAAGACCCACAGCCCTGGGACCCCAAGTCTTCCACCACATGACCCTAAACCCTAGAATCCTAAACTGCAGGGTTTTCCACACGGCCACCAGAAGGGCCTGGCAACGTCTAAGGGTGCTAGGGTTATAGGCCTTGCGTGCAAACGGATTCCGAACGCCAAGACAAGCAGACGGAAAAAGGTGTTCAAAACCAAAAGAATCCTAAACTGCAAAGGTTTAAACTTGCCTAAAGCCGATGAAGCCTGTTCCTGAGCCACAGGACCGCCTTTGCGCGGCAAGGCCCACTGCCTTCCTGGGCGTCCCCTTGGTTTGGGAGAAGCCTCTTGACGACTTTGGCTCTCAGGGCCTTGGGTTTAGGGATTGCAGGGCTAGGGTTTAGGCTTTAGGGTGTTGCTTTACATGTGAAGACTGTGTAGGATAAACGATGGTCGTCTGGGGTGTTTCTTGCTGTGACTTTAACGTTTAATGCTATGTGTCTGGCGAATGTTTGCTGTTTGTTGGTATCAACAGCTAGCTGTTATCGCCGCGATGTGTTGCTTTATTGCCCTCGGGCTATGTTTGCTATGGCTCACTGACTGTTGTGAGCCGCATTGTCGTTCTTGCTTGGCAGTATGAGTACACTCGTGCAGCCTCTCCTCCATAACCGTTTCACTCTTGGAGTATATGTGTATGTAAAAAGCAGCCCACGTTTACTTCCGATCGCTTCTATTGAGACGGAATGCGTTGGTGCTTCAGGGTTTGGAGCTTTAGGCTAGGATCCAAGCTTCAAAGGGTTCAAGAGTGCGCTGGACAGAGAGTATAACAAATCAACGAATCAACAAAAGTACATGTTTCAGATTGAGGGTTCGGATCTCCAACACTTTAGTGGAAAGAGCTCCACAAGGGGTCATTTGACCAGGCAGCCTGTCAGCTTCTCTTCAGATGCTGGAACCTAAACTTCGATGTCTTCGGCACCATGAAACGGAAGTCAAGACACCGCTGGCCTGAGCTTAGTTCCACTGCGTTCGGTCTGCTTCTAAGGATCGCAGACAAGCTGCGCGCCATTGGCGCTGCAAACTCAGGCACGGACAGGGAATTGGAGCCGAATCGCATTTTACTGATAGTTTCCCCTGATTTCGAGAGAAAGTCTTGTAACCTGAAGGTTAGCTTCCTCCGGAGGACTTGGACCTCTCTTTTGGACCCGCTGTGGCCGTGCCCGAGCAGTGAAATAGGTGCCGTCCCTGCTGGCGTTCCTTCGAATAAAAACACCAGCTGAAATGCTCTGGGCTGGCTTGGAGGAAAGTGCGTAGAGCCAGGATGTAGTTGCCATTGCTGAGATAGCCGAACAAAAGGATGTTCTGGCATGATTGCGATTTTCTAACCAGAAGACGAAGTGACCAAGTCGAACGTGACAGCAGAGAGGCGATCACTTCAAGAAACCTGAGCCTGTAAATGCTTGGCCACTCCTGCGAAAATCCATGTCTGGCAGGCTTGAAGCAGTCCATTGCCAGTTGGGCGAAAGACCTGGGCCTCACGCAAGCCAAGAGCTCTCTTTTGGGAGGTCCTGTATGCCGGGGGTTGGGATGTAACTGCCCTGATGAACTGTGTCGTCTTTCGCGCTCCGGATTGATGCCTCAGACAGCTTCCAGTTTTGTGACTGCTGAGTGCCAGTGGAGTGTTGCTGTGGGAGCATGCAAGGGGCTTCGTATGTTTGTGAGGAGAATCTTTTGCATAGCCCGTATCGGGCTTGTGTCATTGCTAAGCAGAAGCTTGACAGCGGTTCGCAGACTCGATCAGCCTTTGAGCGCAGACTGTGTTGGTATTCCGACATCAAGATACGGCATGGAACATCCAAAACACGCAGACTTGAACCCCAGCATAGAGACTCTGAAGCAGGCGATGGTTACACACCGGTTGGCTTCACCTTGGCAGAGACCTTGATTCTGAGCAAAGTGAAGGCATGCCATAGCACGAGCACCTGCTTGGTTCGGGTGTCTAGCTTCAAGACTTCTTTGTTGCGCGTGGTATAGCAGGGGCCTGCATCTCGCTGTTCAGAGGTACTGCAAAACCCCCTCTTTAAATAGCTGCTTCCCAGAGAAAGCCGAGATGTGCATGAGGTGGGGTGGTATGGGCACATGTATAGGATTGTCTCCGCAGCTGCACAGCAGAACGTAAATGTTCATGGCTGCAGTGGTTGCCGGGTTCAAGATTGAACTTCTCCAACGGACAGTCAGTTGAGCAGGGCGCCTTGGGTATGGACCAGCTGAAGTACGCGGCTACAGGACAAATGCGGGTCCCATAGCTTGCTCCGGCGGTGAAGATCACGGTTAAGGGTTTAGCAGGGGTTCGGATTCTTGCCGAGGAGCGAGATCCCTTCCCGAAGTCGGCAACCGCAAGTCCCTAGAGGCCTTCGAGCCGCAGATCTCAAGCCTGAAATCCTAAGGTCCCAAGCCAACTAAGTACTGAGCTGAAGATAAGAAACGCCAGGACCCAAGCCTGGCCCTTTTTTGTCTTAAGAGAGCCCTCCTCCCAGGAGCTGCCCCCATCCGTGTGGACACCTTGGAGTATTTCGGATCCTTGGGCTCTTTGGCTGAAGCTCTGGTGGCCCGGGCCCGAAAGGGGGGGGGGGGTTCATACTCTTGCGTAAGCTTTGTGATTTCGCAGACCACTCTCTCAGGGCTTACAGCTTGAGTCTTGCATCGTGTTGCTTCGTGCCGATCTCTTGATTCATGTAGGAGCCTGAATACTTCTGAATAATATTCCTCTATACATCCTTTATCATCATCCTACAGATTCCCCCAACACCATCACCCTCAGCTCTCCATGATGTTGCAGCAGTGGAATCACCGGGGCTGGATTAACGGTTGATTGTCCTGCTACACTGACACTCTGCGAGCAACCGTAGGGACGAGCACCTCATGATCTCGTACGCAACGGGATTGGCAAAGGAAAGGTCAAGGCCCTTCACGACAGTTTATAACGTCTTTTCCACCACTCACCCAAGTTCTCCCTGAAATCATATGAAGTATCCTGAACCGAGGGGTTAACTTGATATGTCCTACACTCCTACACCCAGACAATGAATGCTGCGACATCCGGACCCTGGCTTCGTTTAGCTTTAAAGACTCAGGCTTGAGCATCAACGAAGTGTACGGCATGTCTGCCGCACAGCTGAAGGAAAAAAGCCGAAACGCGAAAGCTTTGTATGACTTGCGATGCTCGATGCTCTTTGCGTTGGGGACCGGGAAAGCTGTTTCCATGGCTGCATACGATCATGAGGATGCCGTACATACACTATCATCAACAGTACCATGACGTCTGGAAGTCAATGGCTATCCAAGGAGAGCTGTGGAGGTGCTACCCTTTCCACTCAGTCTGCACACCTGTGGGGCTCTTGCGGTTCTTCGGCTGTGCCATCAGGAGTTTAGCTGGTCACGATTGGCAAAGCACAAAGGTTTTCTAGTCTGGATTCAGGACGGGGTATGTGTCAGGATCGTGCTCCAAAACACCAGAGGCGCGCGCAAGCGGGCAAGACAACGCAGCAGATCCTGACAGTTCAAACTGCTAGCGACGATGAGTGCAAAGAGCCTGAAATGAACTGAACGGCGTCAAGGAAAATAGCGACAGAAAGTAAGACGATTATTAATGAGGAGCCGCAGTCGTGCAAGAGCTACAGAGGCGAGAGTGATTGAGCGGAAAGTGCTTAAAGCCGACGCTCACCCGATCTCGCCTGGTAGAGTCTGGGGGTCCAATGTTTCAGGGCTTACCGTGGACCGTGGAGGGTTTAGGGTTCAAGGTTCAGGGTTTAGGGCTTAGGGTTCAGGGTTTAGGGTTTAGGGTTTAGGGGGGTTCATTTTGGATTTGGTACCTTCCGTCTTCCGCATTGCACAACAGCCTCACACATGTCTATAGCAAAAAAGCCTCTCTTCAATGATTTTGCCGTGGGGGCTTCGCAACCAGTGCTTCGTGCTTCTGCACTCTGAAGAGTCCAGCAGCCCCAATCCAAGGATTTCCAGTTGACGGAGTCGAGGTGAAAGTGTTCAAGGTCGGAGCCCGTCTGAATGTCTTCGGATGCTTGCCGTAGGCTTTGCAGGCGGAATCCGAAATGCGCTTGACGGTCCTCAACATGTAGGGTGCTGCAGGCCATACGGAGGATGCAGAAGTTCTTGTGAGACTCCAGGGCACGCAGGGATGCCTAGTCAGGGCCTAGTCAACACCTTTTTGCAGGTTGATGCCACGGACATCAACAAGAAGACGGAGTGCCCCAGGCAACATGCGCATGTTACAAATCTTGGTAATGTTACTCTCCTTCCGGGGCTGTGAAATCTCCTGTTGCTGTTGGTGTCTCAGGCAATTCATCATTTCATCTGTCAGGGTTTGGAGATTGGGGCTCAGGGGAACGAGTTTCTCATCATGTCGCAAGATGCACAGAAGTTCCGATTACCCTGATCGGCTCATTCGAGCGAGGACACCGAGTTTGGATGACAACCACGAAGACTACCAAGGTCCGGATTGTGCAAGGGTTGGGTGCGCACTGCTCTGCGCGCAGAATAGCTGCTGCATCCAATTGGGCGGTGGTAGTTGTAGTCCGTCGCCTTACGAGCCTTTACATAGGTGTTGAGGCTCAGAGGTTTTGTTCGTGATACTTGTTGCATGGTCCTTCGAGATTGGCCATCAGGTTGAAGCTGACCGCTCGATTGAAACAACTTCACACAATCGGATGCTTCTGGAGGAGAGATCTGCTTTCGCGGCCGGCAGATCATGACGCCTGGGCATTGCTAGAAGAGCGTGGCTCCTAAAGCTCTTTGAACACAACCAATCAAAGCCAATCTGTCAGACGAGCATGACTCTCTAAACGCCTAGGTTAGAGGACCCAGGAGCTTGGCATCTGGAAATCTCCAAAGCTGCACCCATTGACTTGCAGAAGGGTGTCAAGCTCTCGAAAAGAAGCCCTCACACACTTGCGCCCCCTCAACCTCAAACCCAAAGTCAAACTCTCAAATCCTAAACTTTAAGCCCTAAACGTTTCGGAATCCTTATGAAGCCAGCATAGTGGATGGAAGAGAGCTCAGAAAACAAAACCTGAGGATGGGATACCTCGCCCAGCCGGACTTCGGCCCGGAGCACGTGAAGTCGCGGCTCGCCTTCCTGAAAGCTGTCAGGATAGGGCTTAGGGTTGAGAATTTAGGGTTTGGGGAGTGTTTGAGGTGTAGGGTTTAGGGTCTAGTAATTAGGGTTTAGGTTATGGCATCAGGATTAGGGCTTGGGGTTTGTAGATCGTATGTTTAGGGCCATTAACGAAATTAGCCTGCCTTTCTGTCTATCTAGCCTCATCATGATCCAGTTTTGTTTCATCCTCTCTAACCTTGCCGGGATTCTAGGTCTTTCTATCCTGTATATCCTATCTATCCTGTCTATGCCATCTTTCCGATCGACTCTAAAGATCTACCTACCTAGCTATCTGACTCTCTATCTTCTTTCTGCCTATCTTTCTATCAGGATATCTAAATCACCTACCTGCCTGCCTGCATATCTGCCCACCTGCGTGCATATCAGCCTACCTGCCTGCCCGCGGACCTTACCTGACTACCTGCCTACGTGTCTACCTACCGACCTTTCTATCTAAGTAATGGCCCGTGCCTTTCTATCTATGTGTCTATCTATCCATCTACCTACCTACCTACCTACCTACCTACCTACCTACCTACCTGGTACCTAGCTACCTACCTGTCAGTCAGTCAGTGAGTCAGTCATGCACATACACAGATAGATAGATAGATAGATAGATAGATAGATACATGCATACATACATACGTACATATGCACATATGAACATGCCTACATGCATACATATATGCATACACACGCATATGCTTACAAGCACATGTCGATTATGTTCACCTATATACATATACATACATATTGCTGTTTTCTTTCGCGCATATACATATACACATGCACATACACATGTACGTGTACTCATGCATGCCTCTGTACTTTCGGAGACGAGAGGCCTCTGCTGAAAGGAACCCAGCTCGCTTGATGCGCGCACCACGCAAGACCACAGCGCCTCCCCTCTGCCTTCGACGAAAACCTCAACCCCACAAACCCTGAAATCCAAATGCTTCAGGTTTGGGCGGTCTCTAGGTGGCTTCGAGGCGTGTTGCTTCGAAGGCAAGCTCTACGCGAGAAGCCCGAAGCTAACCCTCGAACGAAAAACCCCAAACACCAAAAGCAACAACAACAACAACCACCCACCCCCTCTGCTATTAGGATCGAGAAGAAGACGGCCGAAGCCATCGACGCGGAGGGTTGGATGCACTCCGGAGACAAGGCCAAGACTTCTACACTTCAAGGACACGAGGCTATGGGCTTTTTGGGGTTATTGCGCATAGATGTCTAAACAGATATATGTGCTCCGTGAAAAGAGTTAACGAGAGAGCGAAAAAAAATTGGGGCTTGCGAACTGGGCAAGGGGAGGCAGTCTTTACCTTTACCACAGTGAAGCATGGAGGAGCTATGGAGCCCCTCTAAGCCTTTCAAGCTTCGCTTCAGGGCATGATGACGGCCTCGGGCATGCTGAAGATCACGGGGCGCTTCAAGGAGTTGAGCCCCGGCGCAGAGGAAGCCCAAGTGTGTGCAAAACAGGGTCTTTTAGCCTCGACAGGCTGGATGGACAGTGCTTGTCTACAACAGAACCTGCCTAAGAATTCCCCAACAATAATTATAGGACCAATAGGATCCATAGTAGCAGCCCTAGTCAGAAGTAGGGGTTTCTGAATCGGGTTCCTACATTGCCAACGTCCCACCAGCGGGCTTGAGGATCATCGGAGATGGTGGAGAGAACATTGCACCGGTACCTATCGAGGACCCCCGCTTAAACGAGCTTTAGCCTGCTGCTGCTTTTGAACCCTGGAAGATCTTTTGTCTTGCTTGTTTCTGGGGTCGAGTTTGCCTGGTTATCTGCATAGTGAGGACCACATCAAAGCATCGTGCGACGGCATCAACGAGGCATCGAAGCCATAGCTGAGGACTCGAAGCGTCGCATTGGGGGCTTGATGGGGTTAGGTGCTCTCCCATATACCACCCAGCACACGGTACGGAGAGTCTTTCTGTCTGGGTGTGTCCACTAGGAACTTACCAACGTTGGGCACAATGATGTTGAATAAGCTACCGTGGATAACTGAACTTTAATTGGACCACGACGTATAGGCCAGTATAGGCGGTCCGCCGTGCTTCAACGCAGCATCATCTGCCTCAGGTAGGATGGTATACAATAACATCGAAGGTCTACTCTCGAATGCCTTCGAACCTTAGCCTCCATGCAAAGTTTCTCAGGTCTTTTAGGGCCATAGGATTTACAGCTTCAGGATAATATAGTCACCAAGAAAACTAGCGGATAGCAGACTCCCCAAACATCCTATTCTAACTCCTCTGAGGCGCCTACATTGTGTTTGCGGGCTTCAGGTCAGAGAGCCCAATATCCCTTAACTAAGGAATATACCTTAAATTATAGGGACCTTAATATTATGATCTAAGGTATATTCCTTAATTAAGGGGTATTGGGCTCTCTGGCAGGTCATGATGGTCGGGGACAAGCGAAAGTACAACGTCGCGCTCATCACGCTCAAGGCCCCCCCCCACTCCGTCTCAACTCGGGAACTTCTGAGCACTCTAGGGGCTCAAATAGGCACGAACAGTATCCCTCAGAGCTCATTATTCTGATTATAGCAACATATATCCCGAAGCCCTATTCAGGGCCCCTGTAGTATGCAGGGAACCTAAGCAGAGGTATAGAAGGAGGACCATGATGGTGATGGGAATGGGCGGCATCAGTATCAGGACAATTTTCATGATGGTGCTCTGCCGGTGCCGCGAAAACCTGCTACTGAGTACTGAAACCCACAACCACAGCTTCAAAGGCTGTTCGAGGTTGGAGTTGTGCTTGCGCACCGAGTGTCTATCGAGTGGCCCCCCGTCGGAAGCCTACAAACATGGTTCAGGCGCAGGCGAACACCACCACGTCAGAAAACAGAGGTGGCCCCAAATGTGTCCATCGACAATGGTCGGACTCACGGACTAACAGTGGCATTGTGCCACCAGCATGTTGCAGCTTCCTTCCTGTCCATTATTCCAACATTTTCTTTGTCAACTCTTGTACAAGGGCATATCTCTTGGTCTTGCACGATGCAGTTGTAGGCAGTGGGTGCGAACGGCGAAGTTCCCGGCACTGACGATCTGGATGCAGGGGCCAAGCGAGTGCCACGCAGACTGCAAGTAGATGCAATCAATGGTCCTTAGCTGCCTCACTGTACTCCACACATCAGAGCCTACTGTTCCGTCGTCCGTATAAGGCTTCCAGCCTTCCAAAAAGTTATGTTCCCGTGCAAGGAAAACCCCCATAGTCGCTTCGCGAAGAACCGAGCAGTCCTGACTTAACACCTTACTCTAAGGGTCCAAGTACCTAATAATCATATCCTCTCCTGAATATTAACCTAGACATTGGATAACTACTGTCCGCAACCAAGGTGGCACCTTCAGGATGTCCCGTCACGCCCTTCTGTCCTGTCACCCCTGGCATCATGGACATCCTGAGTCGATCGGTCCCACCTTAAGTCAATTCTTGCCCCTAGCTTGCGTACCGGCACGACGATTGCCAGCCTTTTCCTCATGATGATGATGATGATGATGATTATATGCATATATATATATGTGTATGTTACCAGTCTTGTTACCAATGTTGTCAACAAGCTGACACTACAGACTCCGAATGCAGCCTCTGGAAGTCAAGCTATGTAGCCCTTCTACTCGTGAGCCTCGACCTCCTCAGTCCCAAGCCTGGCACCAGAAGTCCCAACAAGGAGGTCGACATGGTGTTATGTTACGCTTGAATCTTCAGATAGTTGTGCTGTCTGACATCTTGCAGTCACGACGATCCTGTGAACGAGGAGCTGTGAACGAGAAGATGTCCATATTTGCACGCATACCTAGGTACAAATCAACATAAGTCAGGCCATGTTGAAATCACAACTCCCTGTCGAGCAGAAGACCCTACGCAGCAGAAGAGCCTGTGCAACAGAAGGGCCTAGGTAGCGGAAGACCCTGTTTGACACTAACCGAGCTGCACCATTTCTTCAAATTACCATACCCGCATCGTTTCAAGTATCCATCTATCTATCTATATATATATATATATATTGTTGTATACATATGTATGTGTATATACAGACCCAGATATACAGATCTACATATCTACATATGTCTATATGTCTCTTTCTCTCTCGCTCTTTTCTCTCGATCCCCTGGCTTCGCTAGACGTCGCAGTAGCTCTCACGAGGAACCCGGATGTCACCACCATCTCGGCAGCGCTGGATGACAAGGCTTCCCGCATGTTGTCGACGGTCGGCGGTCAGGCTGTAGGGACGGCGATCGGAATCGACAGTTGACTTATCACGGGGTATTGCAGAGGCACGGCTGCGCCACCAGAAATGCGCAAGCTAGCCCGCTTGGATCTGATTTCCTGTGGCGTGTGGATGTCAAGGTGCTTGTGACGTCGAGAGCTCGCGTGTATAAGTGCAAGGGGCAGCTCGACTCATGGTGGAATCACTGTCGTTCTCAAACCAAAGAAGGAGCAATACCAACAAGAATAATGACGATTCGTGCGTGTCAGCAGCAGTTATAAGACTGGCACACTCATCGTAATGGTCGCAAGTCATGAGAAATGAGCGGTTTTTGATGGAGCGATGCGGAGGTCTGGATTGAGGCTGTGACGAAGGCGGTCACCTCCGCCAACAACAACGGCGACCCGGCAAGCACCGGGAGGATCTACCAGTCAGAACTACCCATATAGGGTCCCCTTTTTGGGTCCCCAAACTTTAACCGCCCGCGCCCTTATTAAAAGGAAACATTATGGTACACCCTGCTCTATAAAGGTAAGCCTCAAGGGGACCCTAGTTTAGCGAACTGCCCATATCCTTTGCATTCTCAGGCGTCGACATTGGACCCACAGAATATTCCCAGTGAGTTAGCTTTGCCGAAATGTTGAGACCCCAGAAGATGTAAGTCCGGTGCTGTCGTCGTTTGAGGCAGCGAGTTTCAGGTTCATGTCATGATGCAGTAACTTCCGAACTACAGAATTTACAGAAGGATCATGCCCGGAACCTGTACATAGAAAGAACGCTTACTTAGACTTAGCCGGTTCTGAGCTACTCCAATTCGCAAACGACGACGGAGGCAAGATCTGCCCCAACAATGCCTTCAAGGTCCAAAAGCTCCCTGGCTGATGCGCAAGACTCCCAAGAATCAGCAAACCCGAACGCCTGAACCTAAACAGCGCGACCCTCGTTAGCAAGGAATGCTGGTGCCATTGTTTGTTATTGTTAACAACGACGACTGAGTGTAATCTATTGTTAGTAATTATCGGTCTTCAGGGCAGAGGGCAGGAAGAGGATTTCAAGCTTAACTACGGCTGGGGGGTTTGGGTTCTAGGGTGTTGGGTTCAGGGGCAGGTCGGGTATTTTGGCGTATGTGACTCTTGCAGGACCCTTGGGCCAGCCGTGTCTTGTGTCGTGTTAGCTGCAAGAGCAACTGGAGGCAACGAAGTACTGCCGGCCAAGGTCTGCAAGTCGGTTTAGGGTTTAGGGTTTGGGGTTTGGGGTATCGGGTTTAGGGGTTAAGGGTTTAGGGTTAGGGGTTAAGGGTTTAGGGTTTCCGAGTGTCCACCCTTTCTTCTTCATTCATCCTCTACTCAAGTCCCTCTTGCTTGACTGAACTCCTCTGTTCTCTTATTCCCAGAGATGCAGAGCAACTTGTCATGCCATTATGTTACCTACTGGATCCATCCAAGCTTGAGGTTCATGATTTTGCCAACGAACTTCTCCGAAGAGCAGGGCTCTCTAACACCCACGAAGCACCTCGGCTGCAAACTTCTGTCGGAGCCTTGTCCTGTGTGAAAGGCCCATCCAGCATCACTTCTTGATATATCGTAAACATCTGCTGCTAACAATAGTAGTACCAATAATGAAAATAGCAAGAATATACGAATAATGATTCGAGTAAGTGGTCAGTTGTGCACCAGCACCCTCACTCCTCGCACAGGAAGCTGAAGCGACCGATCGTGGAGAAGGCATTCATCAAGCAGGTGGAGCAGATGTACGCCTCGAAGGAAACGTATGTTCGTTACCAGGCGTGAGTTCGGAGCTGCATGGCGAAGACAGCATGCTGTCGCGCAAAAATCTCGACATCTTGTTATGTGGATTTGCGAGACAGGGCAATGAAGTGTGTCCAACGGACTAATAACTCACAAGCAGTGCAACTCAACATCCTCCCGGCACTGGCTCGTCATATCGACATGTTAGGTATATTTCGGTATCCCTTGCAGCTGCTCTAATTACAAACGACTGCGGCTACAGCTGCTGCTACCGTTGACACATGCCAACTCAACTAACCAGGCTAGACTCTGGGGAACGGACGACAGCTCCCTGCTCTTTCGAAGAAGCTGCGCTTCCAGCTCCGGACTATCGCCCTTTCTGTCCATGCAAAGGTTCATCGCACAAGAGAAGGTTTGCGAATAGAGCACCTTCTTCTGTGACTCGCTTCAGCTGCGTGAGCTTCAAGCTCCAAGTCCCGAAAAGCAGGCCTGGCAGCTTAGCGTGCTGTGGCAGGCGCAGCAAGCATAGTCTGTGCCTGCACCAGCCGTGCCAATCGTTTTAAGCGCCCGCGGTTGTTCTCTCGTAGAAGTCCAGGAGGTGGGAGAAAGGCAGCAAGGTTGTTGAAGAGATTTTCAAAGACCAAAAGGGTGCATCATCGCACTGACTCTTCACTTGCGAATCGCTCTTGCCGCAAGTACAGGGAAGCAATCTCTTTGTACAACCCTCAGCCAAGTTGTTCCTACCTCTGGCGGCTGTTTGCGCGGTCCTCCTAAGGAGCAGCGATATGTCAGAGAGTATGTGTGAATGTGTACGACAAGTATGTACATGTATAATAATAATAACAAAAATCATAAAATAATAATACAAACAATAATAATTATGGTTATTACTGTTGTTATTGCTATTATATTATATATATATACACAACACATAAAAAACACGATTATGAATACATGTACGTATATATGTATTTGCATATGTATATGTATATGCACATGTATATGGGTACGGTGGGTGGGCAAAATCGTGCATGAGCCACAGCAAGAAGAGAATGACGCGTTGACTGGCTCACTCCCCTCACCCCTCTAATGTCAATGTCATGATGTCGATGACGCAGATGCGCGAGGTATCGCCGACATGCCTTTCTTTAAGAGCGGCTTGGCATCAATACTAAGATTCAGGGTTTGGAAGGGATGGGCTGTAATCGAAAATCGATGCAGTTTGAAACTTGAGAAAACTGGTATTTCCTGCAATCGGCATCGATGGAACCAGTTTGAAACTTGAGAGAATGGTACTTCCCGCTATCGACATCGACGCATGTTTCGAAAGCACAAGCCCATCATAGTCAGTTAAAGTAGTCCATGTCTCCATTCCGGTGGATTAACGCCTCCACTAACCAGGCCACCTAGCATACACATGTCGGTACCCTGTGTCCTCCGAATGATGGTATAGGCAAGTGCGACGAAACTTTTGTTCCTGGCGATGTGTAGCAGTTCCACGTCCACCAGAGATTCGATGTCTTCGCACTCTTACATCTGAGTCTCTCTGTGAAGACGGAC